ATGTATTGTATTGGTAACTCCTTGAAACCCCAAACAAACCCTAAACAATGGGTGTTTTGGAATTTGGCCATTTTCAAGGGGTAGGCGAGCGACACTTGAAATAATTTTGAAAAATAAAAAACTAAAAACAAATTATGAAGTATCAAAACACCCAACACGCCTGTTCATGCATATCAAGCGCATCAATACTTTAAGCCATGGATTATCCCATATTTAATTTTTATTTTTAAAATTGAGAAATTTTCTGATTAGTACCATATACTTTGGACCTAATGCCACATTGGTCCCCAAACTTTAAAACACAATAATTCACTACCCAAACTTTCAAAACATGCCAATCCATCCTTAACCAGTCATTAAGTGGCATTTGAAAAGATACAAATGCCATTGGCATGTCATCTAATTTTCTTTATCAACCATCCAAACATTGGGAACAAACAAACAATCCCAAATCCTTGGCTCTTCTATTCAAGAAAGTCAGGGTCACGTCTTAATGGGCATTATGGTGACTCCAACTTTCTTGAATATAATAAGCAAGGATTTGGACTATTTATTCTTTGCTAACGTTTGGATGGTTGATAAAGAAAATTAGATGACACTCAAAGAGCATTTTTGTCCTTTCAAATGTCACTTAAAGGCTGGTTAAGGGGGGTATTAAATTGGCACGTTTTAAAAATTTGGGTACTAAATTGTCGCATTTTAAAGTTTGAGAACCAAAGTGGCACTAGGCCCATAGTATAGGGTACTAATTGGGAATTTTTTGTTTAAAAATTAAATTAAACCCACACAATTCTAAAAGGCTTTAGAAGCAATGTGAGAAATCTAACATAAACATCATTTTAGAATATAGTATAGAAAGAAACCCATGTAATGTTTAAAAATATGATGCTATTGATTTCTTAACTAAATTGGTTGGTTGTGGATGACCTTAAATAGATGGCCCCATTCCCACGTTTATTTTTTAGTTTTAAAAAAATTAAAAAAGGGAAATTCCTTATCAGTACCTTGAACTTTAGGGGTTGTGTCAAGTCAATCCCTAAACTTCAAGATGTGTATATGTAGTGCCCCAAACTTTTAGAATGTGTCTAATAGGTCTCTTCTCAGTTAATTTTGAAAATGCCAAAACTACCCATCAAACCTAATTTTATTTATCTATCGCTTCCACATAAACCAATTTAAACAAAACTCCTTCAGTAAACTATGTTGTCCTTCTACCTTGATTTCAAGCAATCTTGCTTTTTGGCTTGTGGAATGATAGATTGCCCATTATTGATGATGAATCTGTGGGTGGGCCATAGGAAAATTTCATCAACTACTTAAAATTAAAAAAAAATATAAAGAATTTACAAGAAATCGTAGCAATGGCAATTTTATCTGTCATTAAACTTGGTCTGTTCCTAACATTGTCGTTGGTTCGTTCAAATATGTTCCTAGCACCTAGTCGGTTCTCAACACCATTGTAGCAATGGCATAGTTCTTCGGTCTCAAGGTAGAAGACAATGAACAATGTCTTCTTTCAAGGTAATTTTGATATTTTAAATGTTTTAAAGTGACACATGTCATTAAGTGATAAAGATAGCTAATAGACTAATTACAACAGGGATCTATTAGACATATTCTGAAAGTTCGAGACACAACCCATTAAAGTTAAGGGTACTTATCAAGAATTTTCCCTTAAAAAAACAAGCAATACTAAAAATCAGACGTGTTGAATTGCATTATAAAACAGTATGTCAGCATGTCTCTCCTTTGAAGCTATTTATCTATTTTTTCCATTCTTTGCATTTTTCTTATTTTCTTTTGTTTTAAAAATATAAAACAGTAACCATTACTTATATTGATTAGATTAATAAAGTTGCACACTATTAGAGAGAAATCTTTGGGCTTTCCATGCCTCTTATTTTAATGCATGTTATTATTACATTTAAAAAAAATACATTTAAGAGAGAGAGAGAGAGAAGTAATAATATAAATAGGTTGAAATTAAACAATCAAAAAATTATTAATTTAAAAATCCACTAAATTTCACTAAAAATAAATATTAACATAACTTAGTAAATATTAAAAATGTATTACAATTCCACTTAAAAATCAAACTTAATAAACGCTAATAAAAATAAGATATTTAAATATAAAAAATATTAATTGATAGTTTTAAACTTTTAATAATATTATTAGATAACTTATGAGTTGAGACCTTTATTGTGCATAATGAATCCATTAACAATGATAAAAATTAATGAAAATTTAAAATGCAAAACTCATTTTATTGCAAAAATTATTAAAAAATACCAACAATTAATTAAAAATAAGAAATTTAAATATAAAAATATTAAATGATAGTTTTAATAATATTATTAGATAACTTTACATTAATGCATTTATAATTAATTAATAATTTTAATGAGTTGAGACCATTACTGTGCATAATGAAGTCAATAAAAATGACAAAAATTAATGAAAATTTAAAATGTAGAACATTTTTTATTAATAGTATTTTATTGCAAAATTACTTATATGCAAAAATTACTGAATAATAATGAAAAAATACCAACAATTAATTTAAAAATCTGAAAAACCTAAACAATACTAAAAGTAATTTAAAAATATTGAAAATTAACAATATTTTATATTAATAAGAGTATTTACTGAAAATAATTAAAAAGTACAATTAATAGTATTTTATTATTACAAAATACCAAAAAATATTAAAAAAATACCCAAGCCATAAATTATTGAAAAATATTGAAAATTAGCTGTATTTTTATTAACTATGGTATTTATTTAGTTATTTAATTTATTTTTACTAAAAGCAAATGCAAATTAATTTTGTAGTGACTAATATGCAAAAATAAATGCTGAAAATTATTGAAAAATACTCATATGCAAAAATTACTGAATAATAATGAAAAAACACCAAAAATTAATTAAAAATCCAAAAATTCTGAAAAACCTAAAGCTTAATTAAAATACTAAAAATAATTAAAAAATAAATTAAAAATACTGAATAATAATGAAAACAATAATGCATTTTAATTATTAATAGTAATATAATTAACAATAATTATTTTTAAACTATACTTAGCAGTAATTATAATTTGAGCTATAAATAGTAGAAAATTACATTTAATTATCAAAAAGTTATATTTAATTACCAGAAAATTACATTTAATTAGTTTTAGCCAAGAAATTAGCAATATTTCTGGAAATATGATAATTTCCAGAAATTACTATATTTTAAATAAATACAGTAATTTAATAATTATAATATTTTAATAGCTAACAATATTTTAATAATTAATAAAAAGTAACAAATCGTTTATAACTTAAGCAACTATTAGATCTATAAATTTGTAGGCTCAAGCAACTATTTTCTTTTGAGTTAGGTCTAGCTAAGATATGCACAATGCCCACACATTATCATGGATAATCAAATTCAAAGTCTAATTGGGTATCAAACTTTTAGAGTCTAATGATGGCTTTAGCGACTAGGGCCCAAGCTAAATAACCCCTAATAAGCTCAACTTGGGAATTATATGCATATATGGTAAATATTATTATATAATATTTAAATAATAAATTTTATATTAGTATATATATATATTTTTTATATTAGAATTAAATAAAAATTTTAATTTATAAAAAATCATAGTTTTATAATTAACACGGGTTTCTTTATCAACAGAAAATGTGCAAGCCTGTGCTTGGTCTGACTATCGGGCCTAGATCTTGAGCCCAATCCCAGCCCTTATATAACGCCCGAAGCTTGAGCCCAAACCCGAAGTCTGACCTGTACACAAAATGTCTTATTTTCAGTATACTTTTATAAATTAATATTGTATTAATTTAGTAATAATTTAATGAATTAATAAACTAATTTATATTTCATAATAGTCAATTGATATTTATTAATAATTTAAGAATAACATAAGTACTTTTTTATATATGTAATAGTTTCGGGTCGGGTCGTCGGGCTACCCAGCCCATGAATAGGTCTAATTATATATATAAACAATTGTATGCATAAAAAATCATATGAAATAAAAATTTAAACATCTTTTTCATTTTTTTTTAAATGGACCTCTCATAGCTTGGTCTAGTCCGCGGCCTAGCCTAGCCAAAGGCTCGGCCCATGGACCAACCCAACTCACAGCATAGCACGGGGCTGTGTGGGCTTGGGTCATGGGTTGTGACGAATCGACCCCCCAAATTATCCCAAAGGAGGGAGGCACAACCTAGGACGCCCCATGGGTCAGCACGACACGGTCCACACTTTGTGCGGGCCACATGCGGGTCGTGTCATGCTGGCACAACACGACCCGATTTACACCTCTACTTGAACCCATCCAATACTGGGGACAGGGCGGGGAAATTCAAGGATTCCCCATCCTTGATGAGGAGTGGGGTGCCTTGCTCCTAAACTCGCCCAACATTGGTGAGTGGTTAACTTGCCTAACATTGGGGACGGGTGGGGATGGAGTAGAGTGTCTTGATTATGGGGCAAGGATAGGGATGGGGTGCCTCGCCCTGAACCCACTCCGTTGTTATTCCTATATAGTTGTTAATTATCAGTGAAATTAATAAAAATATTAGCTTTTGTAATTATTTATATTTATTTAAAGTTAATCAAAATTTTATTTTAAAATAATAAAAATTATTAAAATTACTGCAAATTATTAATAAAGCTAAATTTATTAAAAAATATTTATTTATATTAAATTAACAATAATTAATTTCTATAAATCAATATTAAATGAAAAATACAATTATTAAAATTTTAAATATTAACAATAACTTTGAATATTTTTAGTTAATTAACAACAAATTTTAATTATTAATTTAATATAGTAAATAAAATTATTATATATTTCAGATTTTCCGTGCATCGCACGGGTCACCGCTAGTATTTTATTATAACAAGAGATGATGTTACATGTAACAGACATCCAATTTGTTGGCTGGTATGCCAGCAGCAACAACTGACATGCAATTAATCTCGACACATTGGAGTTTTTAACATTTCTTATTTTCTTTGAACAAATTCACATCAGATCTGCAATTGCAGTTCTCCCCGCATTCCCTGGAAAAAAAAAAAAAAACTGTTGCAATAATATACCGATGCAGTCCAAACGTCAACAAGAACAAGAACAGATAGATCTCTTGTCTTTCTATATATCTATTTGTTGGCGCGGCCGAACTGCATTAAAGGAGAATAACAGCTAGGAAGGGTGATTAGCAGAGAGGGTGTCGGAAATGTGTAAGGCAGCTGTGATCATCTACAGTACAGTAGTTCTGCTTATTCTCTACCTTATATCGTACTCTCCCAAAACACCCCCAGTGCAACGCTACCGCCGCCTCAAGCTTCGTTCCAACTTTACTTTTCCCATCAGAGGTGGAGGTGGCGGTGGCGGTAGCGGTAGCGGCAGACACCGGAAGCCCGTCGCATTCGACCCACTTGTCGCTGAAATGGAACGGCGCCGCGCGGACAAAGAATGGGAAAGAAGATATTTCGAGTATACCCGCAACGAGTCTGTTGAAGCTCCGGGAGAGGAGCCGCAACCCGAATGGGAGGACTTCATGAACGCCGAAGATTACTTGAACGATGACGAGAAATTCAACGTCACCAATAGGTTGGTTTTGTTGTTTCCCGATATTGATATCGATCCAGTTGATGGGTTTGTGACGGAAAGCGAATTGATGGAGTGGAACTTGAGGCAGACGGAGAAGGAGGTGACGCATCGTTCTGAGAGGGAAATGGAGGTTTATGATAAGAACCATGACGGGTTTGTTTCATTTGCCGAGTATGATCCCCCTGGTTGGGTGAAGAATTCAGGTCAGCATTGTGATTGTAGTTTAATTATTTCTTGATTTCTATTGATTGGAAAAAAAGTTTATCATGGGACTTGTCTACCTCTTTCTCTGAGAATCTTGGGCGTTCCATTGACAAAACTGCGGCTGCCTTTCTAATCTCTTCCCACTCAAAACTAAATTCTAGCGATCTAGCTGCCTCATCATCCAAGGATATGGTCAATCCATCCCCTCCACTTTTAATCTATCATTCATCTGTCTTTGGTAGATAGACTTGAAATGATACACAAATGCTCTGGCAATCTCTTCTTGGTTGCAAGTGAAATCCACATTCACTTCCAGTTTGGCTATAGAGTTCTTCCTTCCATTTGTTATTGCATGAAAAAATTTTGTATTGCCATCCACCACTTTAATCCATTTATGTCTTGATTTCTGTCTTCAACAAATCTCCCCCAGGAACAACTTCTTAATTGCTTTCCTTGTCGCTTAAACAATCTTGACTTTCTTTCTCATCTATAAGTTCAATCTGAGAGAACCTGCTAATGGAGATGAACCTGTTCTGATACCAAGATTTCTTATATGCAGTTTAGATAACCAATATACTTTACCTTTCTCTCAAAAAAAAAGTTCAGGTACTCAAATAGAAACAATAATGAGTAAATGAAAAAAATGCAAAAGATAATAGAGAAGGAAACAGTTAGAGAGTTTCTTGGGGTGCGTGCACTGCCTCCTTATGGTGCTCTGTAGATCAACAGAAATGCCTCTATCCACAGACTAAATTATGACTTCCGATGTAAATGGCATAAATGCCCTCCTTTAGACACTATAATCCTGGCTTAAAAAAAACACTACAATCCTCACCAAATGGTAATAGGAACATGTTCCATCAGCATGGGAAACATTCCTCAAGTTTTAGGTCTAATGTTCAAAAGCAATTGCCTAGGTGATGCAGTTATGCTTGGCAACTTAACTAGTTGCCACTTCACTGGACATTTGCAAAATGGGTATCATCAGGTCAAGGGAATTCACTAATGGACCCTCATTAGCACTCTAGTCCTTTCAGGGTCTCTTTGAAAGAGAATCCAATATGTTTTGTTTGTTAATATATATAGGATGATATCCCTTTGTGGGTGCCTTCAGAATAAAACGATTGGGATTAGACAGTCATCTGAAACATGTATGTCATCTAGGCAATGCAGGTGCTATCCTGTCACCAAATCTTGCTTCACTGCTTTTTTGTTTTGATTGGTGACTGACTGATCAGTAGACATAGACAATGAAGAAGCATTACCCTCTCCAGTAAGGACAGGAAAAAGAGAGCCAGCTCCCTTAGCTACTCTCCTTCAATCATGATACATTACTGGATACCTGCCTACCCACTTATCCAAGGGGTTTTATCCGCAATTCAATTCTACCTGTTTACTCTCCCTTTAGCAAGAGATCCTCATCTTATCACCTTGATAGCTGTATGACTTCAACAACATGTAACTAAATAGTAAAGGTAACTATTAATCAAGGTACTTATTGCATCTTAACAGTAGTTGCGAATGTAATGGTTAAATAATTTATCTATCTTTTCTTTTTTATTTGAAAGACAATTTATGTATCATTTCTATACAAACTGCAATCCTTTCATGATATTTTTGTACTTATTTCTAATTTCGATTCATTGTTCTCTAAAGAATTGAAATCTTCTGAGGCTTAAATCTCATTACACTTGCCTTGAGGTTTATGCCTTAGGGATCTTATGGTCCTTCTATCTTGCTTTATGCCTTCATCTTTTAAGACATTGATGCTAGATGGAGACATGACCTGATTTCTTGATGTTTTTATTGGTGGTGGTTTCTTTTTTCTTTTTATACTTCACACCAGCAAATAATTCGTTTTATTATGATATGGGTTGGTGGAAGGAGGAACACTTCAATGCCTCAGATGCTGATGAGGATGGTCTTCTAAATCAAACAGAATTCAAAGAGTAAGCTTCTGTTTGAGTAGATATTTCTCATCAGACAATCCTATCATTTCTCTGATTCCTCTGTTTGTCATTTTTTTTAGCTTCATGCATCCAGCTGATAGCAATAACCCAAAACTACTTCAGTGGCTCTGTAAAGAGGAAATATGGTACAATAGATTCTTCAGTTTTCTTCATTTAAATGTGAACTTATTTGCTTTCTTACAATACTTATTGTTACTGATATTGGCACAGTATATTTCTACTTAGTTTGTTCATATTAATGAATTCATGACCCAAAGGAAATGCAAAAGCTTCTCTTTTCTTTTTGTTTGGTAACAGTTTTCAGAGTCATTTATATCTTATTCTTGATAGTTCTAGCTTGGGCTTAGTGATCTGAATCTGAGTAATGGGGTTTAGATGAAGAGAGGAAGAGGGAAACTAAGGATTCAATATAAGGGGTGTTAAGATTGAGTTGACCCCCACCCCAGAAGGAATCAAATCATCATAGTTTTCAAGGCGCCAAGGCGAGGCTAGGTGACAGGGGAGTGCCTTGTCTCCTAGTTGCCTTGGTCATGTTTTTTTTTTTTTGAACAAAAGCTATGAATCCTAGGGTAATTCCCTAGATTCCATAGCAAGCAGCAACATCATTCACTATTAATTGTCTGTAATCTTCCCAAAAAAAATGTATAAGCTTCATTTAAAAAATAGAAAATCAGGATATTCATGAAAAAATGTAAGAAGAAAAAGAAATCTCAGAAAATAGAGGGGTTGAGACTCTATTTTTGTCCTAGGAAAAGAAGAAAAGAAGAAAATAGTCACTATTAGAGATGCTTACCCCTTTCTGTTTCTCCCTCACCTCCAACAAACATCCTTGAGGCATCCCGACCCATTAGTGAAGGAGTGATGACCCTTAACTTCGATGGAAGTGCCTTAGGTAACCCTGGCTTAGCTGGTATTGGAGGTAGAGTAAGGGATGTAAGGGGCAATATATGTTGGACTTTTAGCAGTCCAATTGGTTTGGGAGATTCTACAAAGGCTGAAGTGATGGCTGCTCTCACAGGAATCAGAATAATAAAAAATTTGGGAATCCAGAATTTAGTCATTACAAGTGATTCAGCAAATACTATAAAATGGTTAAGAGACAAAGAGGGGGGACCTTGGAGATTGAGTCACTATTTGGCAGAGGCTAGGGATTCTTTGGACTTTTTAAATGCAAAATTAGTTTGGATTCCTAGGGAACACAATCATACTGTGGATGGTTTAGCCAAATGTGGTGTGTATTTGGAGCATTTGTATAGCGACAAGCTTCCTCCTTTGTATTCATTTAATGAATTCTGGTCAAATTTTCTCAAAAAAAAAGTCAGTATTAGGATTTTAGTTTTAGAAGAGGTCTTAGGGAAATTGAGTGCACTTCTCTAGTTGACCTTATGGACAAATTGGGTAATGTTTTCTTGGATAGTCAATTTGTTGACAGTAGAATTTGGTCAGCCTTTCCCAATGGTCTTTTCTCTTGTGCTTCTTTTTTCAGCTCACTGATCCACTTAGATGATCTAAGCGGGGCACTTTCTGATGAAAGAAATTTGGTGCATACATGTACCACCCAAAGTTCAAGCCTTCTGTTGGGAAGGTCCCTTAGCATGATCAATACCTATGTTGTGCTCCAAAGAAGGCCTAAATTCCTAATCAGTTCCTTTCTCCTCATATGTGCCTGCTTTGCAAAGAAAGCAGAGAGACTATATCCCATTTATTAATCTCTTGTCCCTTTGTGAACTATGTTTGGATGAAGGTGTGCTCTCTCTTCAGCTTCAGGTGGGACATGCTTCAAAGTGTGGCAAGCTTGTTCAATCCAAACTTCATGAGACAACCGAAAAAAGGAGGCAGAATAATGTGGGCAGCAAGAGCAGCATTGCCATGGGTGATTTGGGAGGAGATGAATGAAAGAATATTTAAAGAGAAAAGCAATTCAATAGAGGAGATAGCAGAGAATATAAAAGTTAAGGTAGTGCCTTGGGTAAAAACTTTGGACACTTTAAAATATTTCTCAGTGGATGATGTGTTAAGAACATGGCCAGAAGTGACAAATTCTTATAAAGTAAAGGAGAAGGCTATAATGCTGTGGCAACCACCTGCTAGTCATAGGCTGAAGCTAAATTTCGGTGGAAGTTCCCTAGGCAACCCAGGGCCAGCAGGAATTGGGGATGTTTTCAGAGATGTAAATGGTGTTATAAGGGCTTTTTACACAGGTCCTATTGGTATTGGAGATTCTGTTAAAGCTGAAAGTATGGGCATTACTACAAGGGCTGAGCCTAGCCAAGCAATTGGGGTTTCAGCAGCTAGAAGTATAAGGGGACTCAAAACTTGTCATCTCTTGGCTAAGGTGAGAGACTTCAGGAGCTTGGAGTTATAGGCAGTCATTAAGAGAGATAAGACACAATTGCCAAAGAAGTTGGAACCATGTAAATATGAGTTAGAAGAACAACAAACGGACTGGCAGACTGTTTGGCAAAGGGGTTAATAGGGAGCATCTTTGCTGGGCAGAATTGTAATTTGGATTGTTTTCCAAACTGATGTGGAAGAGTCGGCATCAGTTTTCCAACAAGAAAAAAATCATGTCTATCTTGAGCCAATACTTGGTAAAGATATCTTCCAACTATAGAGAAGAGGAGACATGTGGGAGAGTGATAATTCTCATAAGGAACTAATTGTGGATGAAGCCAATCCACCTTGATTTGCTTTCCTTGTTCATGAAAAAACAAGATCAGAAGTGATCTTAATAGCACTTATGTCATTAGAATAAAGAGGAGTGGAGGTGGAGATAAGTACTCCCAAAGTGATAAGGAGTTCCTACCAGTGACTTAAAAAGTATGCCTAAGTGCACAGGCAGGGCACATTGTTGTTGTTGTTGTTGTTTTTCTTTTTTTTTTTGTGTGTGTGTGTGTGTGGAGTTATTAGGCAGCAGGACCTGGTTGCAATTTTCTCTTTTTATATCATTGTACTTTAGATGGGAAGATCTGTAATTTTACATTATGTTATGGAATAAACAAAAGAAGGTGGCAGTTATGAGAGAGTTAGTTCAATCTCTCTCTCTCTCTGGCTGCAACCCCTATTTTCTTCTCCTTCCAGTCTCTTCTCTTCTTCTCTCAACACACGTCAGAACACTTCTTAGGAAATTAGTAATAATCAAAACTGGACTGGACCGGACGGTCGGACCAGAAAAACCGGGAACTGGTCAGGTGACCGGTTTTGTTTTTCCCCAAAACCGTTGATTTTGGTCAGCAAACCGCTGACCTGGGCTGTTAACTGTTCGAACCGGTAACCGGACCCCTGACCGATTCGGTCTCCGGGTCGGTTTTAAAAACCATGATCAAAACCCTGAAAGCATTTGCCATCATTGTGCGCTCATAATTGCTTGAGGATATATCATTTGTTTCCCAGAACTTCACATGAACTGAACTTTACCAGTCCTAACTCCCCATACTTCTCCATGATGCTTCTCTGATCAGAAAACCACAAAATGAGTTTCTTCTTATTCTCACAGTATGAACTCTTGGGACATAGCATCCAACATGAAAATAACTCATGTTCTTTCATAACCCTAATTGGAGTTCTATCAGAATATAGTGTTTGTTTTTCACGATGTGACTGCAGCCTGTATGTAAAGATTTTGATGTTGTCTGTATGGCCTGGAGGTGACATCTGTATGTCGTAATGTGTACAGAAAAGCAGAAGATATTACACCTCCATTTTGAAAATGTTAGAATTTAGAAGTATGACCTAGTTTTCATGCAAGTCTGGAAAATGTTATAGAGTTTATTCTAGTTCCAAATATTATGAAATTATATTTGCAAAACCTTGTTGGAGAACTTTTGTCTATTAACTAACTAGAGATTTGGGCTATTCTTCATAGGGAGAGAGATTCTGACAAAGATGGGAAGATTAACTTTAAGGATTTTTTTCATGGTTTGTTTGATATGATAAGAAACTATGATGAAGAAAGTCAGAATTCCTCATTTCATTCTGATTCAATGGAGTCCCCAGCCAAAATGTTGTTTGCTCAGATTGACCAGGATGGTGATGGGTACTCATCTATGCAACTTTCCTCTTCAACTGATTATGGAAAGTACCAAGTCACATTTTTGATTGGTTGAGTTGGGTATTCCTTTTCCAGATATATATCAGAAAGTGAATTGCTACCCATAATTGGAAAACTCCATCCTTCAGAACGTTATTATGCAAAACAACAAGCAAATTACATCTTATCACAGCTAATAATTTATGGAATTGGATGGAAATCATGTTTTAAAAGTATGAGCTTCTTGTTCACATTATCCATTATATTCCATTGGATTTGCAACTTGCAAAGCTGTATTACAGTTAGTCAAATATCGTGTTTTTTATTGGTAACAGTATGCTTTTATTCATTGATACGAAAGAATCTATATACATATAATAAGTTTGTCCATATACTTGATTTCTAAAATTGAAAAAATAAATACAAAAACAGCAACAATAAGAGAGCAGAATCAAGAGAAGAGAAGAGGTTGAAGATAGAATAGTAGGGGTGCAAAATGTTTATCTGCCGCCCCCTTCAATTCTATTTATATTTTTGAAAATGCTAAGGTATTACTTATTAAGAAAAGGTATACAAGGCATATACAAAGAGAGGCATGCCGAAGCAGCCTCACCCAAAAAGAAACCCAAACAAACCCCATAGGACCCAAGGCTTAAATCCACCCTGAAACAGGGAAGCACAGAAAAACAACCCAAAAGAACCCAAAACAAAGACAAAATAATAAAGAATAAAAAAATAGAGCAGCACAAATAATGGAATTTGCCAGTATAAATGAAGAAAATAATCAAACAATAAGTGGTAAACAGGCTGAAAACTGAAATCTCAACATACCCAACTTGTTTAAGTCATTTTCCAGCTTATTCTTCATTACTCCTTCAGTAAAAATGTTTGCTAACTGCATGTTGGAAGTGACATAAGGCAGAAAAACTTCACCAGAAATCACTATTTCCCTGATAAAATGATGCACTTCAATATGCTTAGTCATGGCATTCTGGACAGGATTATTAGCTATATTTATGTCAGCCTGCCTATCACAATGTTTACATTCTGAGTTGTACAACCACTCACTGTATTCAGGATCTACTCCTCTTTTTCTTGGAAATACAATTAATACACATTAGCCTTTCTTAAAAATTAAAAAGAAACTAAGATCATGTTTGGCTTGTGGTTGTTGATTACAAATTTCACTGAACACCTATTCCCTAGGAGCTCCAACCCCCCTTATTAAAGCCATTAGATTCCAAGATAACAGTTTCATCATTTACCCCTTGAAGCAGATCCTCCCCTGGGCACACTAGCCCCCTACCACCCTTGTTTCAATTGCTTGATCTCAACCCGCTCACAACAGACACTGCTACCACCATCATTGCTATAATTCATCATCCGTACCGAACAATGTTGTTCCCTGGTTAACCTCAATCTTTTCCTTAATAAGGTATTCGACTCATCTTCACCCCTTTTAGATTTTTTTTTTTTTTATTGCCATGAAGACTGCCATCACCTCTCACTCTCAGCCTCAAAGGACATGTCTAAAAATCAACTAATGTCTAGGATATTGTTTTTTACCCATGCTGAGATACTCATCTGGCATTGAATCTCTGCTTCCTCCAGTTGTTTGACCTCCTCTGCCCATTATATTTGAGGCCAAGGGTTGTCTAGGTCATCTTCCTCCCCATTGCTGCAAGAGAGGGATGATCTCACCTAGACCATCACTTGCCTATAATCGATTGGAGGGTTTTGTGTCACCTTACTTAGCCTTGTTGCTCTAGATAGGTATTAGGGCTAAGGATGCACGCAAGGTCAATGAGGAAATAGCCCTTTAACACTCAATATTTGCTTTAATTCTCTGGGCCACTGTCATCAAACTTTGATCAGCCTCCATCATGTAGCACAAGTCTTCCTTCGCGTCCACCACCTTCTTCGAGAAAACATTTTGAATTGGGTGAGCCAATTTCTGGTTTGGCCAACCCTTGTCTCCAATCTAGATCAATCTTGGCCTTCCTTCGGTTCCTCCTCTGAAGTTTTGATTATGCCCTCAATGCCTCCTACTCTTTATCCAAGGGTAATGGGAGTCGGTTACCTCTTTAATCATCACCCTCAGATCTTCCCAATCATCAAAACCCTATGTCTATGTGGTTTGGCATTTTGAAATTTAAGACTACTTTCTTGCACATGTTCAGCCCTCTGTTGGCACTCAGTTTGATGTGACTTGTTGCAAGCTCTCAAGCCCTCAACACATGGATATTGTTGATTTACTGCAAATTCCTTTGCGATGGGCAATTTAGTGGTTTGGATAAGCTTAGTGTGACTCATTGCTGACTCAGTTGGCCACCATATGAAATTGTCAAAACCTCCATCTTCCTTGAGCTTTCTTGGGCACTTTCTGGTGATCGTATTTGTATGACGATCTCTCTAACCTCATAGGTCCTCATCTCTAGTGATCAAGTTTCATGTCTCCCTTGTCCCCACTTCTTGTTCAAATTTCCCTTCTAAAGCCCAATGCTTTGTGTTTGAATTGAAAATTGTAATGACAAAAGTGGTGAAAATTTCCAGCAAAGAGAAACTGAGCAAGTAGAAAGTTCAAAACTTTTATATTATAAAACTACACAATTCTGGAATGTTTCACCTAGAAGAAACTATTTCTCCTTCCTAGGATCAAACACGGAGTTGGACCACAACATTTCAAACCCAAAGAAAGGTAGAAGTATACATCAAGTGATGGAGAAAGGTCAGCACAATTGCAGCACCAGTTGTGGAGTTCACACCCAAGCCTTCTTGAGCCCCTCACCAAATTGATGTGAAGGATGAAAATGGTGAACCCTCAAATTGATCCTACTATTCTCTTGTTTTGATTTCAGCAACAATTGCAATGAAATATTGTTTCTTTAAGTGTTGAAAGAACCACCAAAACACCAACAACTTGTTGGTTTTAGTGTTAGCAATAAAAGAGGAAGAAAAGAACTCAAGAAACCCTAGATTGAATCTAGAGACAGGGGTCTTGGGGCTGAATAGAAGACAGAGTGAGAGCAATAGCATTAGCCTCTAGTGCTGGTCGAATTCCAGCTTATATAGACTCTAGGAGAGTCCTATTTTGTCACCAAGAAACTTTCCTAATACAATGAGGGAGGTCTCACAAAAGGCAAGACAGTCCCGTTCAACCCTTATCCCTTGACTAGTCAAATTAGGCAACTTCTAATCTAATTAGAAGAGTGAAAAGCAAAAGGCTTGTATGGCGTGGGACCCACAATCCATCAATTTGGACCAACACAGGACTCACCTAGGCCAATTTCACTTCTCTCACAAAAGAGAAATCGTACTAAGTGATTGGGCCTCAAATCAGGCCTTATATCTAACATAAAGGTGGTGTTTGGTATGGTGTCATCGCCAAATCAGCATTTATCCCATCATGCCAATTTGTACACATTGGAATTGACAAAAGTTGGTCTTGATTTATGTGTGTGCCAATCATTGGGGGAAGCTTCATTTTAACGCTTCCCCAACGGTTAAGTGTTTATTCACTGTTCCGCTGATGTAGCACCTAGTTGTCAATAAACGGTTTATCAAGTATTTTTTATCGGTTTTGAAGACAAATCAAGTGCAAAAGTTTATTTAATAAATGGAAGCTATACCAAACACATAGAAAATCGCCCATGTCTACCACTCTAAGAACATGGACCCAATGGTCCAAACTGAAATATATCCATCAGACAAAAGGGTCTAAATGAACATTTGCAATATAGTCTTTCTGCCATTGATATCCAACACTGGGAATTAGGAAGGACCTCTTCCCTTCAATATCTAAGCCCAATACCACACTCTCTTCAATGATGGAACCCGGGAAAAACACTATACAATTTATTTATAGAGTATGTTTATTTTGCAAATTGATTTCAAAAGTCCTTGAAATCCAACACCGACAGTTTTATAGTTTCCATTAGAGAAAGTATATTAGGGATATTCTCTTTGTCTGATACAATGCTAGATTTTATCACAATGATCACCAGCCTAGATACCATCCTAATCTACTCCAACACACCCAGGTTATTGAGAATATATAGCATTCTTACAAATATCATCATCGTTATCCCAATATTCACAGGAACTAGTTCTAGTAGGTTCATGCATTCGTTCATCAAGAACAAGTCTAGGTTAAGTCAATAGAAAAACAACCTTAGCAACCCTAAAAGTACAGCTTTTGTTGCTGTTTACAATGTTTCCCATAAAAGGGTTCCAACTTAGACATACATCAGTATTAGTGTAATCCATAAAGATCTGCTTACAATTGTTGGAAAAAAATATGTATAAAACAAATTATACCATTGCGTAAATGGAACCTCTGGCCTGTTTGGTGCTGCGAGATAAGTAATAGAAAGAACTAGATACCTGTCTAGAGAATATGGAAACAAAGATAATGTATCAATCACAATAGAATGTCACCGTGGTGTGCATTGTGTTGTCCTTAAGCAAAATTCTCCTCAATCGGTAACAATATTAGTGTAAAGTGGACTCAAAAGCTCTACTCCCAAGATTCAACAATCATTCGACTCTCTATATATAAAGACCTCTCTTACAACATAGAAACACACATCTTGAAATAAGGACTAGTAAACTTGAAGACTTGAAATGGTAGAAATAAAAGAGAACCCACCTCCAAAAGGCTGGCTCTCTCTCTCTATTTTATAGAGAGAGCCAAAACGAGAAAAGAAAACAAATCACGCCCAAAATAAAAGGAAACCAAGGTGGCATGATCCACAGGTTATGCCCAAAGCATTATAAAAGAATATTCTAAAAGAAAACCTTCAAAATTAAAACCATTTAGAAAAATAAGGAAACCAAGGAAATAGTTAAAAAAAAACAAAAACATATATAATAAAAGGAAACCACATGCCACGCTATGAACCTCAATTCAACTTAGCTCAATTCGGTGCATGCACGTGTGAAAAGAAACCCCAGACCCAACCCCCCACAATGCATACTTCTCTTATCCTCTTGCACCCCCCAAACCCTCTACACAAGCCCCCACTTATTAACTCAACCAACTTGTGACTATCCAATGTGTGAAAAGTGCTTTTTAGCAAATTTGTAGGTGCCAACAAAGTTGTGGAGGAAATGAAAAACTCAAAAGACAAGTATACAAAGAGAGAAGATAGACCAAAAGGTAAAAGCTAGGTCAAAACCAATGAAAAAGAGTTTTTAAAATCTCATAAAATAACCAACACATCCTTGGTCCATGTAGTCTATGCTCACAAGGTCATTTGCATACACAGCCTCCAATGCACCTCAGTTTGTGCACCCACTGTCCTCATGCTTCTGATCATGGCCATATCATATATGTGACCAAGTGTCGTATATGCATGTAGCAATCACATGTAAATTGTAATAGACGATCTTGGTAAATGGACAGAAATTTTTATTCAGAGTAGTAGCATTCTCTTAAAAAGAACTATAAGTTTTTGTATGCATTGTATTACTTCATGGTAAATTCAGTCAACTTCTGATCCTATTGTTGCAACCAAATGTTTGTGGATCTGCTTTTTGATAGTTGGAGAAAGGCTCTTAGTTAATACATTATTCTAATTCTTTCAGGCTGATATGGATAAAGATGGGCGCCTGAGCTTGACAGAGATGATTGAAAACCCATATGTATTTTATAGCACTATTTTCGATGATGAAGATGGGGACTTTTACTATCATGATGAGTTTCGCTAGTAGTACTGTAGGTAAGCAGAGAGCTTTCGCTCTTTGCTGTCAATACACACTTTCATGGCTTCAAGAAGATACTAACCAGTGACAGTTCAAAAATGTATTTAGGATCTCATGACAGATTTGTGGATAATATTAAAAGGTTCCAATTCAAATTCCTTTCTCCTTGGAGAAATGGTGTAGAATAAGGACTTAAGGAGTGTGCCAATATTCTACCTTTCATATGGATCCTTGTGTTCTCTGAATTCCATTTGTAGAAAGTCCCTTCTTTTCCTGTACTTTTTCTATTATTATTCATTTCCCATGGCTTCATATCCTAATTCCTTGGTTTTTTCTTCTGTTTTTTGGCATAACTAACAGTTAATTCTGCGGTGCAATTTATATTGGATTATTGGAGGGGTTTCAGAAAGAAGGTGGCTATTATAGTTTTGTCCTACTCACACATCTTGTTTTGGGTTCATGAGTTAATTGTCCATTTTTCTTTGGGATATCTACATATCTATCATCTAAAACTGTGTACCAGTCAGTAGAACACTAATCACTACAAATCATTCCCCACTATTGTTGTAAAGGAACATACTCAGTTCCATAAGTATGTTGTCAGAACTAGGATTGGGGAGAGAAAAGCATTTTATTTGAAATTAGTTCTCTTCTTTCAGTTTGTCCCTTTGCATCTTCCAGATTCAAATATGCAATTGCAGCTGCTCGAGTGATTCAGATAGAAAGTGCAAGTTGTTTAGGAAATAATGCACAAATGCTGTCAAGGCTATTCAATTTTGTTAACTTGTGTGTACCAGAATCTTTATTTTGTACTGATTAAACAACTCCAAGCATCTATTTTAGATTTCTAGTCTTCTAGAGGAAAGCATTCTAGTTAAGGGAAATGGTAAATTACCTATATCTCGCCTCAGATTTTGGTCAAATACATATACCATTCCTTTTGTTTACATAATACCTTATATTCCATTTGGCCACCAAAGCACAAGGGGGTTGTTGATGGAGGGGATATAATTAATTAAGATAGATAATTAATTTACCAAACTATCCTTAATAATAAGGTATTAGTTCTGAAAAAAAAAAAAAACATGAACAACCATGAATTTACACCATGAAGTAAAAAAACTATCCTTAATTAATTTACCATAATTTACACCATGAAGTAAAAACATGAACAAACAAAAAAAAAGTGGGACATCACATATGGCATTTTTAACATTCTTAACGTAATTGCTAACTGTATCATGTGAAACTTGAAACCAATGAAAAAGTAACCTATGTGAAATGTAATTTGTCACAAATATTCATTTCTACATGATAGTCAATGCACTTTTATCATCTCAAAAGCTTATTTTTAAAGTAATTTCAACTTTTATTCTCACCTTAATTATGACAAAAAATACATGTTCCTTTTAAGAAATATAAATGAAGATACTTTTGTCATATTTATACCACCATACAAAGTGGAAATAACTTATTAGGCTTCTTGACTTTTTCTTAAGCAAGGTATTGTTTGGGCAAAATCAATGTTTTGTACTTTGATAATATGAAAGTATAAAGCACATATTATACTTTTACTGTGAAATGCATTTGGATGATTTTTATTTTTCAAAAACATACTTTTTAAAATAAAAAAGTAACACATGGTGTTTGGACACGATAAAATGTTATATATACCGCTACACAACATATAATGCATTTAAATACACTCAAGTGTCATTTGGAATACATTCAAATACCATGTAATATCTATATATGTTGTCATGTGGCATTGAATGTCAAATATCTAAAAAGAGGTATTTCTTCAATCATCAAATTAATATTTCTTGAATTATCATCAAGATTATAGAATTCAGATTTCCTATTCTCAAGAATACTATCGGTAACATGCAAATACTGGGATGTTCTCAATGTACAACTATAGTAAGCGCATGGGTAAATGTGGTTAGGAGATCCAAACTCGTGCCAAAACACTCTATATGTGGTACAAATAGGATGGTCTGGGACAGCCCGGTATTCGGGCCTTAATCTAGGTGATGTCAATCTGATGTTGGATGAACTGTTGAACCAAACCTTGGCTCTAATTTTTTTGGTTTGGATTGGACTGCATTTTTTTATGGGTTGGGATAAGGTGCGGTGCATCCTGCTCGGCTTCAATTACCCCAACTCCTTGTCCCTTCAAGGCAATGTTTTCAAAACCAGACCGGACCAGACGGTCAAACTGGAAACCAGGAATCAGTCAAGTCTCCGGTTCCGGTTAAACTAAAACCCAGGGTTATTTAAATATTATTTTTTATTTTTTAATTTTTAATTTTTTATGATGTCACAGATTGAATCATTGGACCCGGACGGTTGAACCGGAGACCCGGAAGCCAGTCCCCTGATCGGTTTCCGGGTTGGTTTTCAAAACCTTGCTCCAATGTTGACGTTTTCAACCTCTCCTTCTGATGAGTAACGAGGGAAAATCTAGCTAATAAACTAACTGCTCTTTCTTCTACTGTTCAGGAAGAAGCAAAACTTTTGTGCCATGGATTTTTCATCAAATTATGAAATTTCCCGTACAGCTAAATTCATCCGCAGCAGAAACTTCACTAGAGTTGCGTTGCAGGTGACCTTCATTTTCTTCTTGTTTTTATTCCTCGAGTTTTTCGTTCACAAAACGCTAGTGTAGGGTTGATAATCCTTTCTCCCATACTTAAATAAACAGCTCTTGTTTGGTATTCAGTTCCCAGACGAGCTTCTGAAGGATTCGACGAAGGTCGTGAGTGCCCTGAGAGACGAGCTTCGGTCGCTTAGTGAATCGGATGCCGAAGGAAACAGAGATTACAGAGACGTTGGGTTGTTTGTGATGGCGGATACCACTTATGGCAACTGTTGCGTCGATGAAGTTGGAGCTTCGCATGTCGATGCTGAGTGTGTTGTGCATTATGGACATACTTGCTTGAGCCCGTAAGCGTGCATCTTTTGCATATTAAATAAAAGCTTTGGCAATGTATAGAGCTTCACACAATTATCAAAAAAGAAAAAAATGTATAGAGCTTCACACGAATTAACGGTCAAGGTTTTCTGGTTTGATGTTTTTTCCCCTTTTCCGATCAATTACATCATTTCATTAGATTTAATTATTTAAAAAAATAAATACATACAAGAAGAGGAGAGGTAAACTTTCTTAACTCAAGAAACTTAACAATTACAATTGAGCCCAAAACAATTGATTTCTCCCCACCCCTTGTTTTGCTAGTGCATCAGCAAAATCATTAGCATTTCTTTTGACCCAGTTAAATCTCACGTCCATATTTCGTGTCAGCCACTTGAAACTCTTATTTTCATTATTAAAAATCAAGAATCCATTTCCTTCCTTTTGCATCCAATCCACATTCCACTACCAGCTTTGAATCACCTTTTATAATCAACTTATTAAGTTCATGTCCTTTGCCTTTTGCAATCCCTCCATACCAGCCATAACCTCAGCCCTTAAGGAGTCACCTACTCCATTTGGGCCTGAAAATAAACCAACAATTCTGCCTTCACTATTTCTGAAAACACCTCCAATAGCAGAGGAACCTGGGTTACCTGCATTACTCCCATCAAAGTTTAGTTTGATGAAGTCATTCATTGGCATTTAGTGTTTTTTTTTTTCTTTTTTCTTTTTCTTTTTCTTTCTGGGAATTACAGGTGTTTGTGGCTAGGTTGAATAAACATTGTATAACCTAATATTATTCAACTACAAGTATGGGCATTGAATAGGATAGTTATTAGGGTGCTATCTCTCAATTGTTTTCCCTTCCTCAGAAGCTATACACTTTGAAAAAAGACAAGAATGGTAGTTCCTAACAGATACTTGACAACAAAGAGAATGCAACAATGGTTATGCAGTCTGATGTTGATGTGCTAACGGCCTAACACTATCTAAATGATGTCATTTCTCTAATTCGAAAAACTTCACTATTGAAGATGGGGTGATGTGTGTGTCATTGGGTGCCACTTCACATTTGGAAGCAAGAAATAGCAGAGTCAATTTCTTTGATTTGTGGGAAAGGAGGGAGAGGCAAAAAGCTAAACAATTACATTGGGACTAGACCGGGAGGATAAGGTTGAGGTCCAGTCGATTGGGTGGACTGAGCTAAAGCGCATGATATTTTAAGTAGTTATGTTACTCTACAAATAAAGGAGGGTGGAAAGGTTAAGAATGACCCGAATTGAACAAATAGTCCCATTGAGTTAGGGTTTCAAAAGGTAGTAATTGAAATTAGTGGAAATAGGCCAAATGTTGTAAGGCCCACTAAGGACAAGTCACATGATGACTTTAAGTCGCACATGAGTAGGAGCCTAGGAGGAGGGTTTTGATGGATGGTAAATTCCATTTATCTTTGTCTTCCTCAAGTTCTTCCTCTTGGCTTGGCCGTGGAAGTGAATTGTCACAAGCAAGATGCTGATTGCAATGGGTTCCAACGAGAAGACTGGAGGTGGATTCTCCCGATAGGTGCAATCTATGCTACCTAAGATAGAGTGAAAAGGGAAAGAAGGTTTAGCAGGATGGTGGATGGTGCTCGGGCATTGAAACCAGTGATGCAGACTCTGATGATACGACAAGTATAGGCAGCATCGGCCTGAATGAGAGGGAGGATTTGCAAGAAGCTAAGATCTTTAATATTGAACTCCTTTTTCTAGAAGCAGAAATGGGCACAATGGACAAAGAATGATACAACCAATTCTTGAAGTCCCAAATGAGGATGATGGGTAGGAGATTGTGGATGATAATGTTGTGCTTCTAAATGAAAATGAACCATCACCAAATTCTCAATGAATGCAGGGTGTATTGGAATGTTGAACAAGTTTCTGAGGATTGTCCAGTTAGGGGTGCACAAGTTAATGTTGCTCCTAAAGGCAGAATTGATCCCTTTGTAAGGTCCCTTCCCAACAAAACTCTAGGGGGGAAATGCTTATAAAAAAATAAAGCTCTATGAGGGGGGGAGTTTTGCATATAGAACATAATTGAAAGTATCCAAAGTCCTTGGGTTGTCTTGTTGCTTCTCCATGTCTAGATGCCCCTGTTCCATGTATGGTTATTGGTTCGGTTTTGGATACTAATGCCTTTCTTGTGCCTGTAACAGATATGTCAGCTACCCAACCTTTACTATTTAAGGAAATGGGGCAAAAAGGGGACTCAAGAGAGGAGGTAATAGGAGGAAAGGGAAAGGAGAGGAAGGTGAAATGATATGGTAATTAATTTGTGTAAGGAGGAAGAATGATATAAGATTGATAAATTAGAGAAAAAGGGGGACCAAGAAAAGATTGAGGAAGATACTGAAGCAAATTTGGAGAATGAAGAGCTTGGGGGACTAGAAGAGGGAGGAGACAACAAATTAGACAACAAATTAGAATAGCGACAAGCTTCCTCCTTTGTAGTTTGTAAGGGTTCTTCCCTTCCTTTGTACATCTTCCCATGTACCTTTTTTTTTAATTAATGAATCTTGGTTAACTTTTCTCAAAAAAAAAGATAGGGTTGAAAGTAAAGAGGATTTGGAGAAGTGAAGGCGTATTCAAGAAAGATCGAGGAGAAAAAGAGAAAGAGGAAGAAAATAATTGAGGTGGAGAGGCTAAAAGCGGATATTGAGGGTGACTTGGAATTTTGTGATTTTTTTTTGATCAATAACACCAGCTTCATTAAATTAAAAGAAAAGAGGGAATATGGATACAAGAGGGGAGATAAAATATCTTAGCTCCCCAAAAACAGAAAACAAAGGGAGTGCAAAGAGAAAAGATTAAAAACTAGCCCAAAATATAGACTCCCGATTCACTCCTTGCTTGGCCAACCCATCCGCAAATGAGTTGGCACTCCTCTTCACCCGGCTGTACTGAATCTCAATGTCCCTACCCAGCCATAAGAACTGTTTTTTTTTTTTTTTTCATTGGTAAAGTTCCACAAACCATTGTCCTCTGTCTTCAACCAACTAACCACCACCTTCAAATCACCTTCCAGGATCAAACGGCTGATACTTAATTCCTTTGCTCTTCGAATTCCTTCAAGCGCTGCAAGGATCTCAGCCCTAAGAGAGTCACCTTCTCCAATAGGGCCAGAGAATAAAGCAATAACAATCCCTTCCTCATTCCTGAAAACTCCTCCAATCCCAGAGGGCCCTGGATTCCTTACACTGCTGCCATCAAAATTCAGCTTTATAAAGCCCGAGGGGGGAGGGGACCAAAAAGGACAAAGAGTTCTCTTGCATCTAGCAATGGAAGCAATCTCTTTCCAGTTTCTTAGCAAGTCATCCACAGGGAAATCTGAAAACAACTCAAAATATTTTAGCTAGTGGACAGCCCTTAAAAGGATTCAATCTAACAATTCTTCCAATGTACTTTCCTTGTTGGAAAAAAATGCGCGAGTTTCTTTCTTCCCACAGTGACCAGCATACCGCTGCCCTAATACACTTCCACATAGTCTTCCCTCGCTTCTTAGGCCAACTAAAAAAAGAAGGAGAAAACAAACCTTGGACAGTCTCCGGAGGATACCAAGAACACCCAAAGTAGGAGAAAACCCACTCCTATACAGTTTTAGCAGCCTTACAAGAGACCATGAGGTGGTAGCCAGATTCCCCATCAGCTTTACAAAGAGCACATCTATTAGGAAGTAGACAATAGTTGGGTCTCTTTCTCTGAAGTAAGTCTAAAGTGTTGATTCTTTCTAGGAAAATTTCCCAACAAAAAAAACCAATCCGAGGAGGAATAGGCCTGCTCCAAATTTCCTTAACTGGAAAGGACAACCCAAAGGGGATAGGAGGCTGAGTTAAGGTTTCAAAGAATGAAGCACAAGAAAAGGTACCAGAGCTAGAAGGGGTCCAAAATCTGGTGTCTTCCTTAGCAGGGTTTAGGAAGACAATCTCAAGGGAGGCTATCAAAGTTACCAAGCTATCCATGTCTGTATCCCTAATTGCCCTACGCAGGCCTAGGTTCCACCCAAAGCCAGAAGTGGAGGTTGAAGGGACCAAGAACGAAGTTCATTTTTTAAGTCTGATAGAGCATACAAGGTAGGAAACTGGTCTTTCAGAGGAGAATCCCCGACCCAAAGTTGTTCCCAGAATTTTATTCGGTTACCAGAGTTTAGACCATACTTGATCCAAGGGGAGAAAATTGGAAGTAGATTATGAATGGATTTCCAAGGAAAAGCAGCTGAGGCCCTTGCCAAGATTTCAGGATCCCAGCCATTGTCTTCCAACCCATGAATGCTAGCCACAATCTTAGTCCACAACTTATCCCTTTCCAATGAAAACCTCCACAACCATTTCCCTAGCAGAGCCATATTCCTTTTCTTGAAACTACCAATCCCAAGACCTCCTAGTTTTTTACACCTAGTGGCCACCTCCCAACTCACCCTATGATCTCTCTTCTCCTCTCCAGGCTCCCACAGAAAGTTCCATATTAATTTTTCCAAAAGACTGGAAGCCTTTGAGGGGATTTTAAACATTGATAGATAGTAGACAGGTAGGTTAGCTAGGGTAGAGAGGGGATTTTAAACTCCTTTCTTCCTCTCCAAAGGACCTCTCTCTTTCTTCAGGTCCAAATCCTCGATTTGCTCCACCAGAACTTGTTTTTTCTCTTCTAATCTTCCAAACTCCAGTTTATTCCACTCCTTTAATTGTGATTTTAAGTATTGGAGTTTCTTGTGGAACCTCGTTCCCTCCCAATCAACTACCGGATTAGTTGCTCCCACCACTCTCTGATCTTCTCAATGAAACCCGGAGTCAACCACATGTTTTCAAACCTGAAAGGGGTAGGCCCAACTCTTCTTATTTCCTCCTTGACCAACATTATAGGCTAGTGGTCTGAAGTAAGTCTWGGGAGAGCCCTAGAAGTAATATTGCCCCAATGTTCCTCCCAATCTG